GATGAGCTTTAATATGGTTTTCTACTCTTCATTCAAGGATAAGATTTTTTGAGTGTCTTATTCATATTTCATATAAGATACCAATTTAAAAAATGGTAAGCAAGAGGAGAGGCAGAGAAGTCTCTTGTTAAAGAACAAAAAATAAATATAAATAAAAAGAATTAAAAAAAAAATGGGACTTATTGTTGACTATCCAAAATGTGAAGGATCTGAAGATTCAAATGACGGTAATGTTGCTTAAAAAGCCATTTCAAATGAAGATGAATTTGCTGATATTTCAGTAATAAATAAAGAACTAATTGTAAAGCTGTACATAATCTTAATTTGTATAGCAAGTGAATATTAAATAGTTACTAGTAAGTTTCGCCTATTTTGTCTGGAAACTGCAAAGCTTTATTCATGTTTGTACCACTGGTATTACATGCCTCAGAGTCTTCACAAGATTTTAATTCATGGAGCAGAAGTAGTAGAAAGTCTATTATTGTCTGGGCCGCCGAGAGCTGTCTGCCCAGGACAGCTCTCGGTCCCTTGCGAGCCCCCCTCTGATGTAATGAAAAGACTCTTAAATACATCTGATCCAGTTATTTCATTCTATAGAAAAACTGTTTCATCAGTAAAAGTAAAAATCATCAGTAAAAATCAGTAAGAGAAATTTCCACCAGGTGTTGTTGAACTTTTTATTTGGGAGAATTCTACTTACTATAATAAAGACAAACCCAATTCGTAATTTTTAATTGCATTTACAAAAAAAAACTTTTAATTTAGGTTTTTAAGTTTTTTAGCAATAAATATAAGCTTGATATTTATTTTATAATGTTTGTGTAACTAATTTATAACTGTTCTAATGAAAAAAAATGAAAAAAATAATTTTGACACAAAAAAAACAGTTTTGTCTCACTGTGCACCTGCCTTAAACGTGAGAGCAACAAGTTGATTCGGCCATGGCGCAGTAGTTAGAGCGCTTGCTTTATAAGCAAGAGATCCAGGTTCGAAATGAGCTTTGGACATATTTTGCGTCACGGTAAGAGAGCACAGTGGGCCCAGAGGTGGAAATAGACAAAAAATATTTGTTTGAGAAAGTCTATAAAAATTATTTATTTAGAAAGTCAGATAAATTTGTTGATAAATAAAAAAATTATGTTTCTAGCTAATTTCTAAGTGATGATATGCAACTTTGAAGTTGATGAATTTCCTATTTTTTTGTATATCTATAAAAGTTTAGTAAATTCGGTTTGTTTCCATTCAAAATAAATTTACCGACATGAAAATTGATAAACCAGTTATGTAAAAGTTGTTTTTAATTTGATATGGAATATATTTTTGAATAAATAAATTAAAAATGTGTTATTTTTTTTAATTTTTTTTTTCAAAGCTTTTAAAACTTAATTATGTAATTATGTTAAAAATTTATGTTATTGTTTAACTAGAGGCTAACTTGCCTCTACTGTGTCATACGTTTTTAAAATATTCAATATTTCTTCTTTTCAAATACTTTTAGGGAAACTGAGGCAAGTTAACACTATTTTTTATTTACATCATTTTAAAAAGTTGAACAGTGATTATTTTTTTTTTTTTTAAATATTTGAATATTTTCTTTTTGGTTACAAATTTTATATTTTTATTTGATTATTTAATATGATTTTGTGTTTGTTTCAGCAGAAGTAAATTTGAATAAAAAATAAATGTAATGGAGGAAAATAAAAATGTAAAATACATCACATAAATAGATTTATTCACACAATTTATTAAAGTTGACAAAACTGTCATGTCAAATTCAGTAACATATTCAGCCATTAAAGAAATACTTAATAAAAATTTTGAACTATCAGTTAATTCACTGGAGTTTGAAAATGCGTCTAAAAACATGGAAGCGTTATGAACGCCTGAAAGAGAAACATTTCAAGAAAAATGGATATGCATTTATACTTTCACAAGCATCAAAAGATATTATTTATGAAGTAGAGGATGCTTACATAACAGAACCATGTTTTTAAAAACGAAGAAAATCTTTTACAGATCTGGATGATAAGATAAAAAAGGAGAGAAAACAGGAACTTCTCAATTACATAAACAACTTTATCACTAATGATTGCCCAGAGTTGCATATTAACCAGTTATTGGGTTACCTCTTACATAGAGTCAACACACAAAATAATAAAAGTATTGCTTATTTTGGAAATGCTATTTTTACAAACCATATGGAAACAACAGATATCTTTAGCATTGGTGAATCCATTGATAAATCCCTATGGCAAAATTATTCACCAAATGCATCGAGATCATTACGTCCTGTGTTTTTGATAAGATAAACAGAAAATTATCAAGATTTGCTAGATTTTATGGTCCCGACTACTGATAACGCATGAGAAGAGTTAAATGCTGAAGTGATGTGTTGTCTATTTGAAAAATTTTAATCAATGTCAAAATTTATATTCAAGATGCAATGAAGGATTTGAAGTTTAAACAATTAATCAGCGGACAAGGGGACAGATAGGAGAGTTAGTGATAAATTTCTAATTGATTGATCATCAGAAGAAACTTGGATGTTGTTCGAAAAGCTAGTTGATAAAGATGATATCATTCCAACTGAAACTGGAGATTCTGCCACACGAAAAGGACTGACTAAAAAACCACAAACCAAATCTGATCAAAAAAACATATGTATTACACATACATATATATAGCACTACCTGGCTTTTAAAACTACTTTATCAATGTAATATAGATTATAGACTTTGGGTTACAAAAACTGGACCACTTGGTGAACCAATACGTAATAATAAAAGAAAACATTGGACTGAGATTAGATATGTGTTGTAACTCTGGTGAGAAGGGAGGGACATCTACAACAGGGTCACAAGGCCGTTGATTTTTTTATGAAGAACTAATTTCTAACATAAAAGATATGTTTTCCTATGTTCAAAGATAGCATGTTACTACTACATTCTCATATCAGTATAATACTTCGTATAGTTTCTTGTCAGCGTAAAATTAAAATAGACAAATTTCAGGAGTTATGCAATAATGCTACACTTAACATTGTGCCTTGGGCACAAATTAACCACACTCTTCATGGAGTCCTTCATCACTCAGCTGAGTTAATAATTCTTAATGGTGGTTATGGCAACGGCAATTTATCGGAGGAAGGTCTTGAAGCAAGCAACAAAGATATTTGAAACTATTTAAAACTTCTCTCTCATAAGACATCACATCTGGAACAACTTACAGATGTAATGAGCCGTCTTTTAGAGAAATCGGATTCTTGTGTTTTAAACCGAATAATCCACTCACATCCTCCAAATTTTAACTTTTCATCTTCAAATATATGTTGCAAGTTCAAATCATTAGAACTCTTTCCTTATAATTTTATTATACTAACATTATTTTTAATAGTGTCTGCATGCCCGGCAGCCGGGTAGTAAAAACGTAAAACCTACATGCCCGGCAGTTCATGTACGCATGCGCGTAACATCACAAGATTTTAATTTTTTAAATTTTTTCCCTCGTGGTATGTCGCTGGAATTTTGGTCCGCGAAAATTTTTTATCCCGGACCAATATTTTCGTTGAAACTTTTGGTCCGGCTGGATAAATTTTGCGATAATTTTGGTCCACCTTGAAAAAAAAGATCCGTGATAATATTTCAAAAGTTTTGGCATAACATACAAGGAGAGAAACAAGGACATTAAAATGATGATGATGATGTTTTTCTATAACTTATTTTATTATATTCAGTTATAAAAATGTCATCAATAAGCTATGGCAAAAAATACATACAAAAAATACAGACAAATATAAAAAATCAATTAAAGCTGCAAAGCCGAAATAAAAACAATTTACTCTTTTTTTTTTTAATGATTTAGGCTAAATAATGAATAATATTAACTGTTATTTATTTTAGAATAAATAATTATTATGAATAAACATTGATAAATCAAGCATTGAATTATAACACGGACCAATTTTTTCTAGCTCAGACCAATTTTTTCAGAAAAAAAATATCCGGCCGGATATATATTTTCTGAGAAATTTAGTCCGGGGTCATTTTTATCGGCGGACCAAAATTATTGTGACAGGTAACTCTTATTTGAATTTTACATTTTTTGTAAAATAAATAATAATATAGAAAATATATAATAACTTAATATAGGATATAAATAAATTGTACATATAAATTTGTATTGGCCTCGTATTCACTGTCATGGAAACTTACGAAGAACTATTGGTAAGAGGAATAATTTGTTATTGTTATTTTGTTTTTATTTTTATTGACTAAAATATACTATATTAGTTATATAGTATATTATACTCCTAATATAGTATAGTACTACTATATGATATGCTGATAATATAGTATATACTTCTAATATAGTATATTATATTTATTTTATTAAAAATATAATATAGTCAATAAAATAATTATACTTTAGTAGGTACCTGACATGAAATTTTAAAATTGATCTAACACTAGATTGTTATATATCGTTGGAAAGGTCTTCAATTCAGTATTTTAAAGGTGAAATTCTACAAAAAGTTATGGCATTTTAGGTACCGAAATTTTCATATATGGATTTCTTGAAAAACCTGTGATCAAATTTTAATTTTTTTTAACTTAAAACGTCAAAACTTTGCATAATGCATAAAACTTGGTATCAAAAGAAAGGTCTTACAAAGAGGAATATGTAAATACAAAGGGTGTACGAAGGGCGCTAGAGGGGCGTCTACAAAACCCTTTATTATATTGAAAAATGTAGATTTTCGAAAAGAATATATTATTATTTAATTGAAATGTATAATTTTTATTTGTATTTTATAATATATTCTAACAGGGTACCATCAAACATGGTTTGAACACTTTAGTTTGATTGAATAGAATAGTCCATTTGGCTTCGGGCGCACCTTCTATAGCGCTAGCTACCCAATATCAAGTATATTACTTTGTATCTTCTTGCATTACTTTGTCATCTTCATGCTTTAAATGTCTAAATGCATGCAATTTAGCATCAAAATAATGATTTCAGGGATAAACATGTAAAAATGCGTAAAAGGATATTAGTTGGAAGCTCTCCACCCCTCAGACCTCGGGTAGGGTGGGTTAATACTCAAATATTATCTTTTTGTAATAATAAATAGTATTTATATAAAATACAAACTTTCCATACAAAATCAAACTCAACTATATACAAAAATAAATATACAAAAAGATTATATACAAATATCAACTTAATAAATATATACATACAAACTATACATACACCTATCAATAAGTGTATATAGATTCAGCTAAGTGAATCTATATAAACTTATTGATAAGTATATGTATAGTTGTTAATAACTAAATTCTACCATCCCTTCTGCCACCAGGAGGTTTGTATTTAAAATGAAGCAGGTCTTTACCTCTATTATATAGGCCCAGATATGCAAAAGGCCCTTTTTGATTTGGGCCCTGGGTGGCTTCGGCGCCAAACCAAGAAATCATTCCTAGACAAGCCTATATTTTAAAAAAAAATGAAACTAGTGTTTGAAAAATGAAAAACAAAAATTAAAACACAGTAAAAGACTTACCGAGGAGGTCTTGGTTTGCATTTTGGGCGCCAGATGGCAGTGATGACTTCGATGAAGCTAGTAAATTTAATTTTTTTAATTTTTAATTTGAAATAAGTTTAATAAAAATTATAAAAAATAGTGTTAACCTATTTATAATTTTTTCTTGAAACAATCAAAGAAAGAAACAAATAAAATACCGGTCTGCAGTAAATGCTATCCGGCAGCAAAATGAATAAAAAGTATAACTCTATTTTAGCTCAATTTACAATATATTACAATTTATCATATATATACTAATGCAGCATTTATTGCAACAATAGAAATCCTACCAAGAATTTCCTTTCTTTTAGCTAAAAAAGACGTTTTTGAAATTATTTTCATTTGGTAAAGAACCATTAAAAAATTTACAACTCCATTAAGATATATCTACCTAGTTCTTCCCTTTTGCGAGCTAAAAAAATACATTTTAATGAAACATTGGCAACATTACAGCATTTAGTTCATAACCAATTAGTTAATTCTAAAATTAAAATTAAGTATTTTTACCAATCTGCTGCTTTATCGCCACTAGATTAAAAGTTAATTTAACTAAATCGTTAAAATATTTGAAAAAACAAAGTAAATCAAAGACCAATACCTTTTTTAAGTTCTAATTCTTTTTTGGCTAAATACACATAGACTATTTTAATACACTTTGTAACAAGATTTTTATACAAGTTATACAAAATAGATTTCATATTTTAAAACATACCTATTTCATTCTCTTCTGCTTCTAAATATAAATAACTATAATTAAATCTTGTTGATTTCAAATGAACGAATTTATGAGTAAAAAAATAAAAGATTGAAAATAGAGAAAAGATGAAAGAAATTAGTAACAAAGTATTTACATTAATACACAATCCATACTGAATAAATCAAACTAACAAAAATGTGCAAAAATAAAATGCAAACACAGGCATAAGGGCAAATCTTCATAAATGCAAACTTGAAAATTTTACGCAAAAGTAAAAAGCATAAAACGACCCAGTAGTAAAATGAGTAGTAAAATAATAGAGAAGTAAAGTACATCCAACGACTGATAAATATAGACATACTATTATCAAAATTTACATACATACATGCTTTAGATTTTGGTTGGGGAAGGCTTTACATTAATTTTCTTATATTTATTTATTAAAACTAAGTTAAAACTGTTTGGCTCACATGCCAGAGCACTTACACACTTATACTTCACACTTATGGAGGTTCACAGTTATGAAATTCTTTTTTAGGTAGTTGTGCACTTATAAATTTAACTTGACACTGGAAAAACTAGCAGTTTTTTTAGTGTCTCTTCCAGTGTCAAGAGACATTGGAAAAACTAGCAGTTTTTCCAGTGTCTCTTGGTCTAAATAAAAACAAATGTGTAGGTAAATTGATGTATACTTTATAAATACTTATAAAAGCATAAAAATAAAATTGAACATCATTAAACCATAATTAAAATCAAAATATACCTTCCAAAAACTCTTCATTAGAGCAATCATTATAGTAGAGGTCTTAAAAAGAAGTTAATTTTATATTTAAACCAAATTAACAAATAAATTATAATAATAGTGAAGTCAAATCTAAAGATAATATTAGGATAAAACATTAACAAGTAAAACAAACAGAAAAAAATTAGAATAAACAGACTAAATTAACAATACTCAATAATTACATAATCTAAATAATCGGTTTCTGGAATATAATAAAATCACAAAATAAAACCTACCCGATAATGAAAACTGAAATGTTATTTTATCATTCATTTTTATTAATACTAAAAAACAAAAAATTTCAGAACAAATATTTCATTAATTTATTTTTCATAACATAAACACTTTTCATAACATAAACACACGGCATACTAGCTTCAAATAATTAAAATTCAAATAAAACCCCCTAATAATTCTTTATTAGGAGGTATAGGGGAAAAGATTAGATTGTCCTTTTCCTCTTTTTCTCCTCCTAATCCATATAGGATGTCATAAAATTGGGAAATCTCATTCCATATTTTATGAACTTCTTTTTGACAATCAGCTTTTTCTTAGTCAGATGACCATTATTATAAGAAGTGAATTTAAGATAATTTTAAAAATTGCAGCAGACAATATTGAGGTTTAACAACTGCTGCCACACTTTTAAAATATAAAATAAAAAATATTCTTAAACAGTAACTTCATAAAAAGAATTGTATTGTATTGTTTACATAGTTTCCCATGTAAATCTAGTTAAAACAAAAAACTTTAAAAATCTATAAAGTGACGCCCTTTTCTCACAACCCCCTCCCTCCCCCTTTTCATTTTTTTCCTTTTAATCTTGACCCCCTCCCTTTGCCTTTTAAATGATGACCTTTATGGATGGCCCCAAAGCTTCTTTTTTGGTTTGTTTTTTGTTAATTAAAATTAAATAATTGTCTATTTAAATTGACATTTTACAAGCATTGATTTAACCATTCGCTGGACGCAGTCTTTTTTCAACTTGAGACGGCATGTTGTATCAAACTGATACAATATGTCTGAAACTGTTTTAATAAAAAAATAACAATGACAAAAAATTCAAAAATTTAGCTATAAGCAATTAGAACCATTTAAAAAAGTTATATTTATTAAGTATGTCATTTAATTAAAAAAACTAACATGCAAAGGCCTAGTTTCAATTTACACAAAATGATAAAAAATGCCATTCAAAAAAAAGTTATTTAATTGTGCTTTTTGAGGTAGAGCGAAAGAGAAAAGTAAAAAACAGGTTACTGAAAAACAGAACACCAAGTCGTTACTACAAAACACAAACACGATAATAGTGATTGGTTTGTATCAATTTAAACGACCGTTGGAGGGTTAAATAACTTTGTCTTGGCTTATAGTAAATGATTAAAATACTAAGTTTCGTTATTAATGAAACTATATAATAATCATTTTTAACAATAGACACCACGTGAAGGTAAGCCAGAGCCGTCTATCAAAAAAAGTGCAAGTCAACGCTTGCTTTTGCTAACTAACTTACATGCCACAAATGGAAGCCAAGCCATGCGTACAACCTAAAAAAAGAAAAAAAATGTGCACTAGTGTGGTTTGTATCGTTAGCAACACCATTATACTTGCAAACAATTATGTATATTGAACATTCACTCATTTAATATAGATATTTAATCTAATTTAAGCTATATCTCACAAATCTAGTAAAGATGTATAAGATAACCCTAAAGGCTTATACCATACTCACTAATGGCTATTTATTATGCCATTATAACCAAGGTATAAACAAATTATGTCAACATTCCATGACACATAAAATTCTGAAAAATACATGTCAAAATTCCATGACACAAATAAACAATTAGGGAGTGACCGATCCACGAATTTTTGGTGGAGGGGGATGTTAAAATATTTTTGAATTTTGTACCATGTTTGCGTCTCCTAATAGCTAGCTACAATAGCTATTAGGAGACGTTTGCGTCTCCTAATAGCTATTGTAGCCATGTTTGCGTCTTCTAATAGCTAGCTACAATAGTGGGTCTTTAGCTTATTAAGCTGGCTGTCCTCTTAACCTTTTAAATATTTGTCTTTATCTTTACAAATATCGATAGCTTTTCGCCAACTTAAAAAAGCTAGCGATCCTCGTGGCCAAATCGCTGTCTTTATTGCTACTATTATAGCTAGCTATTCGCTAGCTGATTTCCCACCGGGTAGCTTTTACACATTTTATTTGAATTACACAAGAATATAAAATAACTTTATTTACTTATATAAGCATGTATTTTCTTGATTAATGGAAAAGTTTTGAAGCATTTTGTAATGTTCATACAATTAATTTTTATATTACTATTTTTATTATATTATATGTTTATATTAAACTTACGATGACTTTACGTAACGTGAAGTAACTTTACGTGAAGCGCTTAGTAATAAAGTTGTAATGCTCAAATTAAATTAAATTAAAATTGCTTGTTGGCAGTTTATTTTATTTAAATGGGAAGCGAATTTTATTTATTTTTTACTTAAAATTTTTTTTTCCAGTTACGATAGGAATGAATGAGTTAAAATCATTTATAATAATTTTTAAATTAGTTACGAGAGCGCTTATAAAGTTGCAATGCTCAAATTAAAAATAAATTAAATTGCTTGTTGGCAGTTTGTTTTATTTAAATCGCAAGCTTATTTATTTATTTTTTTTTCCTATTTTTACGAACAAAATAGTAGGAAACCTTGTTTTTAACTAGAAATTAATTAGAGCATGATATTATTAAAAATTATAAACGTTATTTTTTTAAACAATTTTTTTTGCAACTTTTTAAAAAAAATTAATGTTTGTGCAATTTAAAAATATTAAATGCAACACTTGAATAATTTGGTAAAATTTGTTCATTTATTAAACAATCAGTAGTAATTTGTTACTTTATTTAAAAGCGTTTTGTCTAACTTTAATAAAGCGTTTAAAAAGATTTATTTCAAACTTTATTAAAATGTAACAAAAAGTTTCATTTCGAGTTTTAGTTTTTATTTTTTATTTTAGTGCTTATATAATTTCTTTTTCATAAAGAATTTTTTTTCGTTAGGAATTTAGTTTTTTTCAAGTGTAAGTTTAGCTCATCGCTTTAACATTCAGCGCATTTCTGAAATATTTGAATCGTCAAAACATTGAAAAATGTTCAAATCATAAGCAATCGTGGTCAAGTTGTCAAGAAATAAAATTATTTGCGTGGTCAGCAATAGCGTTCGATTCCTGTCCAAGCCTGTATAGTACGTAAATTAGGTATATGTGATAAAATTTTTTTGTTGATAACAAGTAAAAATTAACAAACGGGGGGGGGGGGGGGTCTTAATAAGCTTAGGGTGGGTGGGAAAAATATCCAAAACTTAATAAATGGGGGGGGGGGGGGGGAGGAGGAGAAAACGTTTATTAGGAATTCGAGAGTAGTTATGATTTTATTTCCAAAACTTTGCCTTCTGGACCCACTGGGGGAGGAGGCGTGATCTTCCTCGTTAAAGGCACACCGCAGTGCTCTGTGACAAGACCGCTTGGGACACCTAAATAATAATAATGATAAAAAAAAATTTTCATCGGCAACAGAAGCATCTAGCACGACTAAAAAAACTTAAAGATTGTTTTACTAATGCAAAACCACTTTTATTTGAAATAAATATTTTTAATATATGCCAACTAATCGTTTTTAGTGTTCTTTGCTTTATATTCAAATGTAAAATAAACTTAACACTTATATCTTTTTAAAATTTATATGCAATAAATCAAATATGATCTAAGAATTTTATTCATCAGCATTGTTCGCATACGAATTTTGAAAGATCTCTTACATAAGATTTTATATCGCGGAGCTGTTTAGTGAAACCAAATAGTTTTAAAAAATTTTGATTTTTCGCAAAGTTTGAATTTTTCTAATTTTTCTAATAAACTAAAAAAAGTTATTTTTTTCAGTTTATTAGAAAAAATTCGAGTTCTTTTGATCTTGTTTCACTTTTATAAGTATTATTTTAAATGTAATTTAAAATATTTGATTTGATTTTTTATTGTTGTGTTAAACGGTGTTTTATTATTGAGATACCTAATATTATTTGTATGATTTTTTAAACGGTACTTTTCATTTTATATATTTTTGAAATAATCAATTTATTATAATTGTATTGTTAAACGGTTCTCGGTGACAGGATCCTCTTCGAGTTTTCATGTTCTCATATATTATGCACAACAACATTTTACCAGAAAATATTGTTAAAAGAACGAAAAAAAAAATGTATTTTGCATATAATTATAATTAATAATAATAAATAATTAGTAATTTTATTATAAAATAACGTTAGAAAACTAGTTTTTAGAATTTTTGATATTTTATTTGTGATATTGTGATATGTTATTGCAATGTGTGATACTGATGTAATTTTGTGATGTGTTATTATTGAAAGGTTAAACTTGTAATACTGCATTGTTGTGATAAGGATAAAAATTTCTATAGTGAACTTATGAGATAGTGAAAGTTCCGTCAAACTAGCTGTTCCTATTCCAAACAAAATATTGAATGCTATTTTTTTTTTTCTTCTTCTTTTTTTGCATAATAAATTAACGATATAGTTGTCTGTATAATTCAGAAAGCTTTTTTTTATTTATGCCTAAGATATGAAAAGCTTCAAAGCTTAAGTGATCTAACTTAGGCGATTTTACGGTGTTGGGAACTTTAAAAAAAATTTTAAATAAAAAAAAATCCCTGAGTACACATATATATACCTAAAATGTTTTATTTTATATAAAAATCTGATTACATGCTTTTTTTAAATCTAACATTTTGAATAAAATCAACTGGTTTACTAATCCAAGCTATTCAACTATTAAATAGTTAGACCATTCAAGTATTAATTACAACTAAATTAATTACCAATTTTGCAAACTTGATTGTGTTTTTATTAGAAAGATTAGAATTATGTTAGGTTTACTCTCTCCTACCTAGGTGTAAGGTGGTTTGCTTGGTGGTTTAATTAGTACCCCTCCAATCAATTTTTTTTTAAACATCCGCTCATTTTAACCAAACAAAAAAAAAATATTGCCTCCTCCTGCTAATCTATTGAACTCGCCTCCCTAATCAATTTTAGTTTGATGGGCACCCCAATCTATGATTTTTTCGTTGTGTCTACTTCCTCTAAGTATTTGCCCCCCTCCCTTCTTTACAAATAAGAATGCGAGAGTATTGTGATAAATTTTACAGTTTTCCCGAATTTTTAATATGCCGCGATGGATTGAAAATGCCCCGATGCTCGCGCGAACTCCATTTAGACTATAAACAAAAATATATTTGTAAATACATAAATTATACTTATTATTAGTTATTGATTCTGATGTTTCTTCTTATAAATAGTATAAAACTTTTTTTAAAGCGAAACAATCAAGAATTTTTATGAAGTTGGTGCGATTCTATTTTATTAATAGAAGAATTTTTAATAAAAGATAAAATAAATTATTAAAAAATAAAATTAAAATAATAATAATGATAGTAATTACAATTATTATTATTACTATTAATATTACTGTTATTATTATTATTACTATTACTACTATTATTATCCAATTGGCGTTTACTTTAGATTTAGGTGTTGTATTATTTGTAAATATTCTTGAGCTGTAATGATAATTTATATATATATATATATATATATATATATATATATATATATATATATATATATATATATATATATATATATATATATATATATATATATATATATATATATATATATATATATATATATATATATATATGTATATATATATATATATATATATATATATATTATATATATATATTATATATATATATATATATATATATATATATATATATATATATATGTATATATATATATATATATATATATATACATGTATGTATATATATATATATATATATATATATTATATATATATATATATATATATATATATATATATATATATATATATATATATATATATATATATATATATATATATATATATATATATATATATATATATATATATATATATATATATATATATATATATATATATATATATATATATATATATATATATATATATATATATATATAAGTATATATTGCATCTTTTTTTAAATTCAAATATTCCTATGAGTTTTAAAAAATTGTGCACTTATAACCAGGGAAATGTTTCAACTGGGTTTAGAGACTGTCTTTGATTTTGAAACCAATAAAACCAGGAGCAAAAAAGAAAAGCAATAAAACTGTGTGTAAAACTGTGTATGTTAAATGTTCTACTGCAATTTTCCTAAAATAAACCACTAAATACAGGTATCAAATGTTATTATTTTTTTTATGATTTAATATTCTGTTTAATTTTTTGTTTAGTAATTTAAATAATTTAGAGTTTTTTTTCAGCTAATTGTTTTTCTCAGCGCTTAAATAATTATAAAAATTGCCAAAATAAAGGGGGAAAGAGAACATCAGAGAATGTACATACATCAGGGAAAGGGTTAGGATTAGGATTGGCATTAAGATTGGCAACTATTTAAGCTTACACGTCGCTGCATGTTTTTCCTATTAAAGTCAGTTGATTTATTTACAAAATAAATAAGTAAATTAAAAAAAAATAAAATGGAATAAGTAACTGAAAATAAACACTTTCTGCAACTGAATCAATGAGCACATGTATCAACTGACTTAAAATAGCAGAACACCCAGAGAGTGTATATACATTGGGGAAAGGGTTAGGGTTGACATAGGGTTAGTTAATATATGTATCCTTGTATGCTCTACCTATTAAAGTCAATTACTGTATATTCATTCCTCGCATGTTCTACCTATTTAAATCTTGATAAATTATTAACAACACTAGTATTCAATTGTTTTTTTTATTTTTTTATTTGCTAGTTGAAAAGTATATATATACAAGAAATTAAAAATGCATGTATAAAATATTAAAAACAACAAAGTGTAACAAAACAGAAACAAAAAAAAAACAAAAAGATAAAACACTTTTTGCTTCAAAAATTAAATTGCAATATTTAAAAAAAGATTATACTTAATTACTTTTAATGTGTTACTACTAATATTGATAGTAGTATTATTATTAGATAATAAATATAGTTATTATTATTTACCTAAGTGTATCACATGCAATACAACATCTTCATAGTCTCTTTTCATTTTTGATTGACCATCATCTATTCACACAGATCATGGAACACAGTTTAAAAGTATAAAACTTGAAGAACTTAAAAAAGACTGGTGTCTTACATCCAGAGCTACTTCATATTACCCACAAGGCAATGTTCAATATTAGCGAATAAACAGAACTGTTAATCTGACCCTGAAAACATTAAGTTTGGTCTTGAAAACATTAGGTCTAGGAAAATAATGATGGGAAGTAGCATTGCAAATGGCTCTATCCACTGTAAGAGGACTTCTGTGTACTGCTACTAATAAAACACCCTCAGAGGATGATGAACTTTTAACGCTCATATAATAGGTACAATTCTACCAAACTTCCTAACAAAACAGTATTCCACAATCCTATACAAACAATCTAATCATGTACAAATAATTATAAATATATTAGATATGAAAAAAGGAAATCGTTTTGTTGACAGAGTTCAACTATTAGAAACAGTATTGCCCCATTTGGCAAATTTCAAATTTCAGAATTAAAAAGTTGATACGGTTTCAAAAAAAGTTCTTGTTTCGTTACGAGTTGTAAATCCACCAACAGAACCAATCCAGCAACAGTTCAATGATTCAAATAATAATGAAATAGTTATTAGTAACAATATCCACAGTTTTGGAAATAGAAACCTAGATGAATCAAATGAAACCAACAAAGTAGGTTCAAGCTCACATACTTTGATTGGGAATTCCATGATGGATAGCATTTCTTATAACCAATCACCTACAACAGTGATACCTAGCCAATCTTCTATACAAAGTTACTAATCCTGACATCTAATTATCCTCAAGAATAGGACATACTATTATCTGAAGTCATTACAGCTCACCCTAAACCTTTCTTAAAGCAGAGAAGACTGTTTTTATTTTAACTTTTATTATGAACTCAGTAATTGATGTCACTTTCTGCCATTTAAAATAATACGGTTAGTTGAACTGGAGATATTAATTATATAGTTAATATGCTATACAATCCATTCTCTAGTTCTTTAATTGTGTTTAACTTTGGTAAACACTAAAATATATGATAAACTTTTTTATTACAGTTTATGACAATGCTAATGCAAGTTAGTGTAATTTTCCATAATGTAATATTTAAAGAAGAATTATAACAATTAAATATGGCATTATAAACAAGTGTGTGCATTATAAACAAGTGTGTATGGCATAATAAACAAGTGTGTAAATATAAATATGGCATTATAAACAAGTGTGTAACCATGAATGTAAAACATCAAAAAATAAATAATAATATGATAAATAAGCTAATCTCATTAGATTAGTAAAAGTATTTTAAAAACACAGCAAGACTGAAATCTGGCAAAGATGGTCATCTGTAGATGACTAGCTCTAGTTTATGTTTATCTAGTTTTGCTTTAAACTCATTTTATAGATGTTGAATCTACTACTTTATCTAATAACAAGTTCTAATTGTTTACAATTCTGTTGTTAAAGAAACTATATCTTTGATCGCAGTTTTTTATTAGATCTCTAGAAAAAATATCCATCTTTTCTAGTGCCTTCTTTGTGCTGGTAAACATAATGGTTCTGTGTGCCAATGTATTTTATCAAAAATGTTATCAAGTTTTTACATTTGAATGAGATTTAATATATGTAATATGTTTTGCTTATAACAATCACTACCTAAGTTGTTTCTTCTTTAGATTTTTTTAATTTGTTTGTCTCTAATTTGTTTCATTTTACTATTAATATAAAAAGTTTTAGTGATCAATAAAAGTTTACTTTTTTTTGTTAAGTTTAGAAAGTTATTTCTTACAAATAGATCCTGTAATTAGTGTAAATAGTTGTATTATATATAAACTTTTATTGTGTTGCCTCAGAAGGAATGTTTTGGGTGCGTCATATATTATATTGTATATAACATTTATAATGTTTATTATACCCCCAGGGTATTTCCAAATGTATATATATTGAGTAAAGATATTCACAAAGACAGTAAGAAAAAACAAATATAGATTTATTATTACAGATCTCATTCAAAACATTCTGTGTGTTATAAGTTTATTAAGTTTATTTCTTATTTTATTAGAAATATGTTTGAAGGAGATACAATAATTGATTTGGAAGAAGCTGTTGGTTCTTATCTGAACTGTCTTTCTACTAGTTTTGCTGCAGGCAGCAAACTATATGCTAGTGTTGGAACAATAATTGAAGAAAAGTTCCAGGAAATCTTCCCAAACCATGATTCCAATAAAAAACTTGTAAAAATGTGTTTCCAAACATTGCAAACATTAAATGCATTTGAAGGGTATCAGAAGGCACTTTTGGATTGTAAAGAAAAATTGCTAGAAATATTAACAGATAATCATACAAAAAAACATGACAGAAACTGTGCTGTAGAAGATGAGGTAAGAGCTTATTGTTATTTATTTGTACACTTTCTCATTTAGAATTCCACAGTTGGACATCTTATAAATGTGTTTTTTTTTAAGCAAATTAGTTTGACTTTGATCAATTAGTATAATTCAATTTTTATTAATATAAACATTTTTTTTATGTTTCAAATGCTATTTCAAAAACTATTTTACTATAATTACCTGTAAATTTGTGAAATAGTTTTTATGATTTTTTCTAATTATTTATAGTAAATGTTTTTTTAAAAGGAGTATGCTGATGTTGCATTGCGTGTTGCAAAAGAGTTATATTGCTATCATCAAACAGTTGCAGATGTTCTCAAGCCACTTTTATTTTCTAATTTTCAAGAAGATTTTCCTACTCTTAGTTCTGATCATCAACATGTACTAAGAGTTTGGACAATTGTGTCAGAGGTGCATTGAAATAAATATCAAATTATTTATTCTTTTTAAATATGTAATATGTATGTATATATGTATGTATGTATGTATGTATGTATGTATGTATGTATGTATGTATGTATGTATGTATGTATGTATGTATGTATGTATGTATGTATGTATGTATGTATGTATGTATGTATGTATGTATGTATGTATGTATGTATGTATGTATGTATGTGTGTATGTATGTATGTATGTATATATGTATGTATGTATGTATGTATGTATGTATGTGTGTATGTATGTATGTATGTATGTATGTATGTGTGTATGTATGTATCTATGTATGTATGTGTATATGTATGTATGTATATATGTATGTATGTATGTATGTATATATGTATGTATGTATGTATATATGTATGTATGTATGTATGTATGTATGTATGTATGTATGTATGTATGTATGTATGTATGTATGTATGTATGTATGTATGTATGTATGTATGTATGTATGTATGTATGTATGTATGTATGTGTGTATGTATGTATGTATATATGTATGTATGTATGTATGTATGTGTGTATGTATGTATGTATGTATGTGTGTATGTATGTATCTATGTATGTATGTATATATGTATGTATGTATGTATGTATGTATGTATGTATGTATGTATGTATGTATGTATGTATGTATGTATGTATGTATGTATGTATGTATGTATGTATGTATGTATGTATGTATGTATGTATGTATATATGTATGTATGTATGCATGTATGCATGTATGTATGTATGTATGTATGTATGTATGTATGTATGTATGTATGTATGTATGTATGTATGTATGTATGTATGTATGTATGTATGTATGTATATATGTATGTATGTATGTATGCATGTATGTATGGGCGTCCTATGATTCAACCGAATCTCTAATTTCAATTTAGAACCGAATATGAGAAATTTATTACACAACCGAAAATATTTACAAAAAAAATTAGAACCGAAAAAATTTCAATTGAATTTTCAATAGAAAGTCATTAATGATTTTAGAACCGAAAAAATTTCGATCAAATTTTCGATCGAAAGTCATTAATGATTTTAGAACCGAATTTCATTAAAATGGTATACAACCGAAAGTTACACTTAATTAATTACAATTAAGTGAGCGTTTTTAGAAAACGATGAAAGAAAACGAAGAATAATGAATGAAAAGGTTGCTGACCCATACCAAACCCTCAGTCGATGTAGCAGCACTCCACTGTGAGTCAGGCTATTTGTCAGTCGATGTATGTACTGAAGCCCCCAGCAGCAGGCTATTTGACATTAGGTGAGATGACATCATCATGCTCACCTAACTCAGCAGTATATGATATATATATATATATTTTAAAGAAATTTTAATTGTTTATTTTATTGTAAAACAACTAACTGAAAAAAAAAAAAAAAATAGATTAAAAAAAGAAAGGATTTTGTAATTCGGTGATATTTTCAGGATAAATATTTTCGGCTCTATCATGTGACACAATATGTATGTATGTATGTGTGTATATATGTATCAACTGTCGGAATTAGGGTTCGCATTTGGCAATGTTGACCTAACTGCTGACCTAAAAGTGTTTGAGGTCTGAAATATTGCCGACCTCATTTTTTTAGTTTTATGGTAACCCATTTGTGTTAAATTTTTTTTACCGACCTAATGCCAACCTGTAATAGTTTAAGGTCGAGTAATTATTGCCGACCTCATTTTTTTAAATTCCTAGGGTTAGTGTATGTATGTATGTATGTATGTATGTATTTATGTATGTATGTATGTATGTATGTATGTATGTATGTATGTATGTATGTATGTATGTATGTATGTATGTATGTATGTATGTATATATGTATGTATGTATGTATGTATTTATATAATTCATTGCCCATGCAAATTAGAAATTTAGAATTGATATAAATCTTAAATTTTTTGCAAATTGAATTAAATCTATGTTTTAAAAAAATCATTATTTTATATCTATTTACAAATTTTTTATAATAAAAAATTATATTGATGTGAATATAATATTATGCTGGTATAAATATGGTCCATAACAAACTTTGTCCATAACAAGTTACTATCAATAAATATGGTCCATAACATGAACCTTGTCCAAAACAAGTTGCTATTAAAAAATATGGTCCATAACATGAACCTTGTCCAATACAAGTTGCTATTATATAATAATCAAAAAATATGGTCCATAACATGAACTTTGTTCATAGCAAGTTGCTATTAGTATGATAATAAAAAAATATGGTCCATAACATGAACTTTGTTCATAGCAAGTTGCTATTAGTATGATAATAAAAAAAATATGAATGAAAGCATTATTACAAAAAATTCAAAGTTTGAATTTTTGCTGTTGGTTTTTTGAGTTTAAATTGATGTCACATCATTTTAATTTCACAGTTTTTTCACACTTGAAGTGAGTTCTTTTGTTTGAAAAAACTATTTTATTTTTACATAAAGATTTTTATATATAGACAATTACATAAAGATCAATATTACATCAAGATTTAATAGCGTTTACAGTTTACAGCTATTAAATCTTGAACTGACTTTGCTAATATTGAAAATTTAATGAACAAATCATAGAATGTAAATTACAATATATGGTAGTTATATGCAAAACATAAATTGTTATTGTTGCCAATAATAATGTACATTATTTTTAACTTTTTAATTTTAAAGCTCACAATGATTTGCAATTTTTATGGTTTTTAAGCAAAGAACATAGTTAATGAGCAAGAAAGTTGCGGTCAGAAAAGCTCAAAAAAACCACGAATTGTATGAGTCAGAAAAAAACAGGAGAGATTTCCAAAGCATTCCAATTTTTTGACCATGAACTAAAAGTTTTAGTAAAAAAATCAACCTTGTTGAATGACAAGACACTCAATGTTGTTAAATAATGTTGACTAGAATTTTGGTTGATGGAACAAGTGATGATAGGTTGCTTGAGCAGTGACTATGATAGTGTTTGTAGAAAAGAGAAAGAGATGCTACCGAAAGAGAATGGGACAAACTTGTTGGATCTCCTTAAGCTTGGCAGCTAGAGCAGACTCAACAACATTTACAATGTGTTTTTGGAACTTGTGTAAAAAAGAGTGAGGGTTTCTTTAGAAGAACCAGCCAGAAATATTTCAAAAGTATTCCATACAAGAATGATTGAAAAGTTTATAGTAGTAGAGATCAGAATCAGAAGTAAGAAAAAAGCAAGCACTATAATTAGAAATGGCTTTGGCAGATGCTGACTTTGCAATAATTGTTTTCATGTGAAGTCAGTAGTGAAAGATAATCTGAAAAGAAGTGAAGTAAAGTGAGGACTCAATAATAGTGTTGTCATTCATCATTATAAGAATATCAACTGTACTGCAATACTTATTACAACTGAGTTTTATTTGACCACAGTGAAATCCTGAAGAATAGATTTGATAGTTTGTTTGGTCCAATAACCTAACCTTACAGAATATAAGATAAACTGAAGAAATATTGTTTATCTTATATTCTGAAAAATGAAAGAAGTTTAATGAATAGTCATAATTTTAGCAAGTTTTACAATTCAACTGTTGTAACATTTAATTATTATTATAGTTTTTTTATCAAATTTAAAAATTATTTAAACATTTTTATTTAAAAATAATCAGGGGTGTGGAGCCAGAGCAATGATAGCTAGAAATTTGTGGAAGTAACTGAAGCCATGTGAGCCAGAACAGTAGATTTTGAAAGGAGCCATAGTCATTAAAAAACTTCGGGCTTTACAGCTATCTTCAGCTTAATTTTCCAATTCAATTGATTGATTTTGTAGTAGATATCTGGGATGGCCTTTCTGGAAGTTTTTTGTGAAACCTTTTTTGAAAGTTTAACTTTAAGTACAATCTGATAACGATGCTAATGCAGAATTTGGTTTGAATTGTATTGAATTTTAAGCCTCAAAAAAATCCATCATATGCATTGTGGTGTTCACACTTTACAACTAGCCATTTGTTATGGATTAGCAGAAAAATATACTACTTCTTTAAACAAGATGAGGCATGTTGTAGTAGTAGCAAAAAAACCCAAATTAGAAAAAAATTTAAATGACAAACTGAAAACCTTTCTGTTTTTCAAGGAATCTCTGATCTACTTCCTCAATATTGCAGATGATAGCTGAAGTTATGAAATCCTCTATGAAAAAAAGCTTTCCTCAATATTGCAGATGATAGCTGAAGTTATGAAATCCTCTATGAAAAAAAGCTTTTAATTTGGTCTTGATCCTAAGCTTAAAAGAAAAGTTAAGGATGGTTTATATGCTATAAGCTATAGTAGCTATAAGTATGAAGAACCCTTAGGAGACTTCCCAAACTAAAATTGAAAGTATTTCAGCATTCTCATCAACTTCGACCTCTGATAATAATCTTGATTTTGTAAAAATCCTATGATTTTGTACAAACAATATAAATTTTGTGTTACAAAATTTTAATAGACAATCAAAGAATTCAGTACAAGATACAATAATAAAGTATCCAGAAATTATTAGAGGTGTTGCCCAAGTGGTTATTGCATTGCCCCTAACTCAGGTTAGTGTGGAGCATTTATTCTCAATTATAAAACTATACTTTCTTAGTTTGTTTTTAGTCTAATAGTCTAATAAACTTTAAATGATGTCAATGTTCAATATAATATAAAATTTAATATTATCTTTTTGAATTTTTATTACTTTACCAAAATTACTTCACCTTAACTCATTATTAGAATATTAAAATTTCCCAAAATTTTATGTTTTTTAAAGAATTATAAGACAATACATATTTTATTTGTTTTTACTAAATGATTTTAATGTAATAATGTTCAATATAAATACGTGGCAAATACCTCAAGTGCATAACAAACTGGTAGAAAAACCAAAGACATAGAATGGTCATCAGAAATAGCAAGGCAGCATGAGTAGATGTCACAAGCAGTGTTGCATTCATTTTTAGGTCCACTTTTGTTTCTCAACGATATAAATTATTTAACAGACAACATAGCACACCATGTAAAGCCTACTTTCATCTATGCAGATGTCAGTAAAATTTTAGGGGTCATTAAAACAGAAGACAATAAAAATTACAACAAGACATAAACCGTGCAGTGGAATAGTCTAAGAAGTGGCTTGTTTTCTAACCTTAACAAATGAAAAATCATGCTGGTTGCTCAAAAATTTCAGCTTGCTGAAATTACTCAATGCTTGACATGGATGGCAATTGTAAAGAACTTGGAACATAAAATATGGAGTATGACTTAGGAGTCCTAGCATCTACCAATATTAAGGTTAAGCATCAAGTAGAAGTTGCAGCAACTAGAGCAAACTAAATTCTTGTCAGACTGAAAAAATCATTTCATTCTAGGCAGCTAAAGTTGAAGGGTAGTCTACATAATATACACCTCTTGAATATGCTATTCAAGCTATTTGTCTTTTCACCTATAAAGCAATATCAAAATACTTGAACATATTCAACAGCAAGCAACAGCATTGAATAAGATCAAACACAAAAAAAAAATGAGGATAAACTAGCCATTCTCTGTCTCATTACTCTAGAAGTAATCTAGAGTGACAAAGAAGCACCTGATTCAACAATATATAATTGCAAATAGGAAATACTTGAGTTTGTAGTTTCACAAGTATATGTACAATCTTAGAATAAGGTCTGCGTGAACATAACCAATAGTAAACTTGGCATGTTGTGAAAACCTGCCGGGTAAGGTGCAATTTTTTCACAAACAAAGTTATTAAGAATTGGAACGCGCTACCTGCAAATGTTTGTGCTACATCACTTCATCAAAGTTTTCAATCAAAATTTTTTTTTTTCAATTTTCTTTATGATGCTTGTTTGCTTTTTGATTTAAATTTTGAATAAACAAATTCAAATTAATGAAATGTAATTGAAAGTATTAAAAGATATTTGAACAAAATTTTTGTTCAATTTCTTTTAAATTTTTGTTTTTAATACATAAGATGTAGGCGAAGACTATTTACTAGTCATTATTTTTGTATTTTTGTCCCCTGTTAATATAAAGGTTAAACAACATTTGTGTACTTTTTTTTAGCTCTGGTATCAAGTTGGTTTTTTGAGATATTGCTACTTTAAAATCAGCTGTTTTTGGAAGTTTTTTTGTTTGGCGGCCATTTTGATTTGACTATAGTGTTTGCTTTACAAGCTACTGTTTAACTAAACATGTATTAAGCTAAAAATGAGCACCAGTATATTTTATAAGACGAGGAATTAGAATATGATATTTATTTAAAAACGATTAGAACTATATCAATATGAGGATTGTACTTCACCTATAGTCTATTTTTAGAAATTTAGAAAGGCAGAACAGAGGGTGGTAACTATGGTAGCATTAAATTTTTGTAATTTTTTTTTTTGCGTTTTTTAAAAAAAAAAAAGATATTTTAAAGAATGTTTTGGTGCAAACTTCAAAGACTATAAATACTTCAAAGACCATAAATATTTAGAAAGGAAAGGTTGATAATAATGGTTTTATTTGTTTAGCATTCCTTTAAGCTTGTTTGTTTTATTTTTGTTTTAAATTATTAGAAGACTCAATCACAGATTGTGCATAACACTGTAAGCAGTAAGCTATGCAGATACCTCATTCCTGGTAATCAACCCGTAAGTAAGGGAAACTTAACTACCAGCCTCAGAACCATTAACTTGAGCATTTGAGTTGTACACTCTCTTGGAAATAAAAGAGTTTGAACCGCTACCAAGGTGTCTCATGTAAAACCCATGTGTTATGTCAGGAATTCATTATCTTGTTGTTCATTATCTTTTATTAGGAAGGAAACATTGTAACAAAAATTAAAGACTACCAATAAACTTTAATTTATTTTACCCTGTAATTTTTACCATTAAATACCCCTAGTTTTTTACCCTTAAATTTTACCATTAAATACCCCAATGTCAGGAAAATTCAGTGTTCATTATCTCCTTAAATACCCCTGAGGCAGTTATTATTTTAGTTCAACCTAACTACTAAATATTGAAATAAATACAAATCCTGCGTTTTACAAAGAACTTTTCTAATTTAAATCTTTAATTTTATAGCCATACTCTTTCTGCCATTTCAGTTAAATAGGTAAACTCATTGTTATACATCCAAATTACTTAAGCTTCGATTGGTAAAATCGTTTCTTAATTAAACTCTTCTACAGCTTGTGGTCTAGACTTAATTTCTGTCATAGTCTTATAAAAGTGTTCTCTAGAGCTCTCTTCAATTTTCTCTAAAGTATTTAATAAGTTTTTTTACAGAATCTTGATTTCCTGCTTGCTGGAAAATGGTTCAACTTTACACTCCTGTCTTGATAAAAAGTCTTCTTTTTTTGATTGCTTAGAACAGACAGCCTATCTAAAATCTGTTCTTTTTTTTAAAAAAAAGCTTGGAGCTTGCAGTGGCTTGTGAATTTTAGCTTCAACAAAACTCAGTTATTTACTCCAAACAACTATTGCAGTATTGCAAACATTCCTAGGCAAGTTCAAAAAAGATCTGTTTTTGGCATTAGTTGATCTTATAAATCCTTTTAACGAAGTACTAAGAGAAGTATTTGAGGTGTTGATAAAAAGTCCGATAACAGCTGCTGTTGCTGGTAACAGTTATAATGGTTATGTATAAACATGTCACATCAGTATTCAAAATAAAAGATAAAGCAAATGATAGCTTTTAAGTTATTTATTCATCAGTTCAGTGATTAATTCTTTTGCTTTTTATTATTGCTTTGGAAAGCCTCTCTTTAGAGTTTACTAAAGGTTTATTATGGTAGCTATTTTATACACATGATTTATGCTTGATTGCAGAGACAAAAGAAGAATTACTACTAAGATTTCAGTGTTGGAAAGATTGAATGTTAACAATTGGAATATTAGTGAATAAGTTATTCATTATTAAAATTACAAAAGAATTACTTTATAATGAATTTCATTATGAAGTTAAGAAAGAGTAAAAATAAAATAATAGAGAGAATATTAATCATCTAAAGCATGTAGGAATTATGTTAAGCAAGCTCTACAGTTTTTAAGCAATTTTTAAGTAATTAGTTATAAGCAATCAGTGCTCAATTTAATTTTAATCAGTGCTCAATTTAAATATAAAGTCCCGGACAAAATGTCTGATCAAAACTTGGGTCGGACAGTGTCCAATCAAATTTTTCAAGCATAATATTTAGGGTTTTATGGAGCCGAGTTATGCAATTTTTGTCATAATATTCAGTTTATTTAACGTTAGTCTAGCGAAGTTTGTATTTTCTTTCCTTATTATTTAGAATATTTCATCACAGATTTTTTTTTTAATAAAATAGTTTTAATTCAACATTGTATGTTTTTTTACATTGTATTTTTTTTCTTTACAATCTGACAACACCTGTTTTGATATTTTATTAATTTAAATACAATGAAAAAAATTGTTACATTACGAATAACTTTTAATCATTAAATATAATGATCGTTAAAATAAACACATTTGTAAATTCAATGTTAAATTAACATTTTTTTTAGTAGGTATATATTTTTAATGATAAATTTGAACTTTTTAAACTCTTTTTCCATGTCGTTCTAAGAATAAAATAATTAAATTAAAGAATTAAAAGATAATTTCAAAACTATTTTTTTAAAATATTTAAAGATAAGTTACTTTAAATTATAAGTTAAATCTTCCCATGATTTTTTTTGTTTCTATTTTTACAAAAAATTGCTTAAAATTTTTTTTCTTAACTTCACTTACTAATTAAAGGATGAAATGATTAAAAATTATGATTTTAAAATATTTTTGAAAACTTTGAAATTTTAAAAAATTACGATTTTAAAAAGACTAAGTTATTTGTATAAACAATTTTTTTTTTGCCACTTTTTGAAAAAAATGTTTATACAACTTAAAAGTATAACATTTTTTTTCTTATCATTAATTTAATCTGACTTTTCAATAGTTTAATTAAGTATGTTTATTTATTAAACAATAAATAGAAGTAATTTGTAAAAGCGTTTTGCGTAACTTTAATTAAACAGTTTAAAAGATGTTTTAAATTAATTTTTTTCAAATGCAATTAAAAATGTAACTAAAAGTAGTTTAAACTTCGAGTTTTTTTAGTTTTATTTTAAAGCTAATTTATTTTCTTTTTCCTAAGGAATTGTTTTGCTTATTCTTCAATTTTTTCAACTTTTTTCCTTGTTAAAGTTTAGCTTAACATTTCTTTTTTCAGCGCATTTCTGAAATGTTTAAATCATCAAAACATCTAAACAGTCGTGGTCAAGTTGTAAACAAAAAATAATTTGTGTGGTCAGTAATTGCGTTCGATTGCACATCACTCCTGTCCATTCTTCATTTTTTTAGAATTTAATTCCCGTCGGTCAAAATGTCCAATTACTTTGTAAATTGATTGAGCAATCTGAGGTTTTAGCCAGACAATGTCCGACGGTTAAATAGAACAATAGTTTAGGAATAGGTTAAGAAATAATTTGTACAAAAGATGTAGTGATATGCTATGTGCTTATAATATTGTTGGTTTTGAGTGCAGAAAATATACTTTTGTTGAATAACAAAATTCAAAAAAGGTAACTAAATAATAGAGATATTCCCAAGTTTTGTTATCTTGAAGATACCATTAGATCAGCTGTTGGATCAGAGGAGGGATTAGGAACAAGGAAGTTGGAGGGTTGGAGTGAACTAATCATTTTTAAGCTAATAAATATTTTTATGTGATTTTGTAAATCTCTTATATGTTAAATTGTTTTCTTACTTTCTATTAGGCTAACAAACCATTAAGACAAGGTTTTGGTTTAACAAATGAAGAAATTGCTCAGATATTATCATGGCAGCATGGAGAAGATTTATCAGAATCGTGTAGAAAAAAGCTTAATTTTAGAATCAGCACTCTTATTCAGGTTTAAGATTTAAATATTGAAGCTTTTTATGGCTTTTTTTATATTTTTCTTTAATTTTTACATTTTTTATAGGAGAAGTGGGGGCATAACCGCATATGGAGGCACAACCGTTTTTTAACACATCCCTTTTGAAAAATGTTATCTAATATGGCAAAAAACATACCACGCATTAGTAAAACAGTTTTCTTCATTTCTCTTATGTCAAAAAGAGTGCCTGTTATGTTAACTGAGATATTGTGCATATTAATGTTTATTTTGATAAAAATATTATATTTACATCATATTTTTCCAGACCTTTTTTTTGAGATTTAAGCAATATTAAATTTTAGTGTTAAAGATATATGTTATCAGCATTGTTTCATCAAGTGAAAACCATTTTTGGTATTAACATAATCTAATAAGCAAGCTATAAAACTGTGTTCTTTCTAAAAACTGTCCTCTGGGGCAGAACCGCATAAATGCCCAGGAGGCACAACCCCATACTTTTAATATTTATCAAAGTTAGGTAATTACGAATAACAATAATTAAAATTGTCACACTTATATGCGTTCATGTAAAAACTTGAATAGAAATAGTTTTGTTTTGAGATGTTGGAAATTAGATTTCATATTTTTTAATTTATTTTTTATAAATGAGTTTTTAAATAAAATATAAATGGAGGCAAAACTATTTTTTTCACTAAGTGTAATTTTTGTGTAATAACATTTTCAAAAACTGCTAAATTTTTTTCTTAATTGCATTAATTTAAATCTTAATGATGTGGTTAGTGAAATAAATTGTAAAAAAAACAAATTTCGTTTTTATTTTCATATAACATTAATCCAAGCGTTACAGGGGTGGTTATGTCCCCACTTCCCCTATGTACTAACTTAAGTTGGCCATTTAAAAGAAATGTTTGAATGAGTTAATATTGTTTATTATTTTATTCATATTACTTCCATATTATTTTTTATTTTAGACACTATTTTTAATGATAAAACCAAATTTATTGTTTTGATGATAGAAAAAACCAAAGTTATAGTTTGTTTTGACATTAAACAAAACCAAGGTTATAGTTTGTTTTGATAATAAAACCTAAAAATAAAAGACATTAGAGGTTTAACAGCATCTTTTAATAAAGACAAAACTGCTAAAATTCATTCTTGAATTTTATCAAAAGCATTATTTTTATTGCTTATTCAAAACTTATTTATAACTAGTAATCAAAATATGCCAGGCTTACCTAATCAGGCTTACCAGTTTTAAGTAAATTTTCTACAAATTCATCATTATATGGATTTATCTTATTAAAAGATATATGCTAATATTATTAGAAATGTGTTTTAAGATATATAAGTTACTTATCGGGTGGACACGGAAAAATCCGGTCAACTTTAAATTGAGATTTCTCTAAAACCATAAATGCTTTTTATTTCAATTTTTTATTATTAAATGTGTTTACATAAATTAGAGTTTCAACTTAGTTTTAAGGGGCTTGATGGGTTGCTTGGCAAGAAATCGAACTTTATAGCGGGTTGATGCCATCATTTTACATATTTTTTTTTTTTCACCATATTGGTGGCATTAATCCACTTTTTTTGGAAGTCCTTTTTGTTATTTGTTAGTCCACCTGTCTTACGAAGAACTCCTTTAACTATTGCCCAAAAATCTTCAATCTTGCGCTCCTCAGGACAATTTGGAGGATTCGCACCTTTAGGAACAATTTTCACATTATTATCTTTGCACCACTGTAAAACTTTTTTAGAATAGTGAGATCGGGCCAAAAGAGACATCGGTATTTGTGTTTTTTTATAAAAAGCAAAAGTCTTTTTTGGAGGCATTCTTTGATGTAGAGATTGGCAGTCAAGGTCTTTTTAGTGACAAAACAAGAGGACTGCATACCACAGCTAAAAATTGCTTGCCACACAAGGAACTTAGATGCAAATTTTTCTTGTCGAATATATTTAAATTGATCATCGACAGGTTTATCTTTGTTTTCATAGTAAAACTGTTGACCAGGAAGTTGTGAAAAATTCGCCTTGCAATACGTTTCGCCGTCTTCAATTATGCACATATTTTTATCCGCCATTATTTTAACCAACTTCTTTGCGCGTCAAATTCCTTTAATTTCACAATTTAAGCTTCTTTTAGGTGTATTTTTTTTATGAAATGCTTTAATTCCAGCATTTTTAAGTACTTTTTTGATATAAGAACGAGAAGTCTTAAATTTTCTTGCTAGATCTCGCTGTGACTGATTTGGATTTCTTGCTATTGAACGTAAAATCGACTTTACCTTTTTGGATTTTTGGAAAGTTTTTTTTCTTCCACTTCCAAGTTTTCTTTCGAAGCTTTGAGTAGTCTTGAACTTGTTTATAATATCTATGACTGTAGATTTTGGGACATTTGTGCGTTTAGCAATCAAGCAATAGGAAGTCGATGGATTTTTGCAAAAAAAATTCACAACTTTTTTATGCACCTCAACTTGTTTCCAAAACATTTTGCAAATCATTAATTTGTAAACAAAAATATATCAATACCATTTAAGATAAGGAAGTAAGGTTTAATTAAAAAAAAAAATTAAATAAAAAGCATTTGTGGTTTTGGAAAAACTTTAATTTAAAGATGACTGGATTTTTCCGTGTCCACCCGATATAAAAACACTAAATAAAAAATAAAAAAATGCCAAAAAAAACCCGTTTTTTTTGACCCATAAAAACACAAGAGTAAAAAAAAGCGTTTTTTTGCAACTCTATATAAGTATATAAATGTTTGTTTTACTAGCAATATGTTGACAGATTGTTTAAACATGGTGTTTGCGAAGTTGAAATTCCTCTTTCATTTTCGATTGATTCTGAAGAATTGAATAAAGTGCTTCAGGTATTTTTTTAAAAAATATTTTTATATAATTTTATTAATAATTGTTAAGTTTAATCACACTGCACACATTGTATCAACATTGTTCAAACATTGTCTTATTGTTTGTCTAAAAATGCTTTAAAAAGTAAAGAAACAAAAAGATTATAAAATCAAGTTTATTTTTTACAAATTCACTTCCCTAAAGCCAAGGCGGTAGAATACCAAGTGCATAGTAGAATTAAAAGTTTTATACTGTGTACTCTATTAAAAGTAGACTAAATTCCTTGTTGAAAAAAAAATTTGGAATAAGTTTTTAGCTGATTGTTTATAGTGAAGTGTTTTTCCAGCTGAAGTATGTATTATGTTTACAGTTATTGTAATAACTTTTGTGTCAAACTAAATTTGTATTAATTGAGCTGTATTGTATAAAGTTTTAAATTCTTGTTACAACTTTGTTTTTGTTACAACGTTCTCTCAACAATTTCTTTTAAACAAATTCATTTCCGACAAGATTGCAAGTAACAACTATGGTAGTGACACAGTTATTGGCATGACTCAATTATTGGCACTTTTCATTTTGTTTAAAAAAATCTATACTTATTTCTAGTTGAAAAGTAAAAAAATATCACTGTATAAACAAAATAATCTATTCTCTACTACTTAAGCAAAAAAATATTGCTGGCTGTCGATTCTTTCATAAAAATTTTAATACAAGTAAAAAAAAAACGCAACAATTTGGCGCAATTGTTAACGCCATTACGGTTTCCATTCCAGAAGAAATCGTGAACATAACTTTAGTTCCATAATTTAGTAATTATATTCAGAAGTCCAAAATGGCACCAAAGGTAATATGAAATGTTATTTATAATTAAAAAAAAAGACTTTATTTTACAATAAAAACTTGCAGAGATATTCTTTTTTTAAACTAAAATGCCAATAATTGTGACAATAACTCAAACATTGGCACGACAATTTTTTAAAATGGATTTATTTATAACTTTTAAAACAACCATATTTTTCTAGGTTTTGTTGCAAATAATTTTTTTTTTGTAATTTATTTATTTAAGTTATTACTAACAGTAAGTCTACTTTGTGTACTATTAATGTATTTTTCAGCCTAAAATTCAAAAATCAAAGAAGTCTAGTAACAACAGACAAGTTAAAAGAAAGCAGTATAGCAATACGAACATGCAAAGAGCAATCGATTCAGTTAAAAAATTGGAAATATCTGTCAAAGCAGATGCAAAAAAATATAATGTTCCTCGAAGCACTCTACAAACAAAACTATCTGGTTCAAGCAGTCTCGTGTGTAGGCCTGGGCCAGCACCTACTTTTCCACTATTCATAGAAGAAGCATGTGAGAAGTATCTTATTGAAATAGCCAGAAGAGGATTTCCTCTAAAAATAAATGACTTAATCTTAATAATTTCAGAAATAATACAAAATAGCTCGCATCCTACTGTATTTAAAAATGAAATCCTTTCTAGAACTTGGGCATACAGATATTTGAACAGGCACCCTAACTTGAAATCTAAAACATCAGAGCATCACTCTTTAGGTAGGTTTAGTGTCTCCAAAGAGTCCTTATTGGCATGGTACAGCAATTTAAAAAAAATTATCGAAGATAAAGAATTAAGACATGTGATTCAGTCACCAGAGTGTATTTTTAACTTAGACGAAACTGATTTTTATTTAAATACAAACAGAGGTAAATTCATTGGTAGAAAGCATGAGTGTCTGCAACAAGTTTGCACCACAAGTGAAAAAGAAAATGTTACAGTTGCAATCAATTTTTTGGCTGCAGGAGAAATGGCTCCTCCTATGGTAATTTTAAAAAGGCAGAAATTATCTAAAAATCTTCAGCAATGTGCTCCATTTGGAATGGTAGTTCAGAGAAGCTCTAGTGGATGGATGAAGGGGGAAACTTTCCTTTATTATTTGAAAGAGTTCAAAAGGTATTTGGTTGGTAAAGGTTTGCTTAACACAAAGGACAATAATCAAAAAGTTATACTTTTGGTTGATGGTCATTCCAGTCACTTGAGCTATGGTGCATCTAAGTATTGTGAAAAAACAGGAATAATACTATACTGCTTGTATCCAAATGCTACACACGTGCAGCAACCTGCTGATGTTGGCGTTATGAACTCACTTCAAGGTTACTGGGCACGTGAAGTGCAGATTTACAGAATGACCAACACAGGAGCTGCCATTACAAGTGAAAAATTTCCTGCCATAACAATGAGAGCTATTATTCGAATAACTGCTCCAGTCATGAAAAAAGCATTTGAGTGCTGTGGTTTATACCCATTTAACCCACATAGAGTTAATTTTAACAAGCTACTCTCAACATATCAACAAGCTCCACAGCCGGTTTTCACATTTGATGTAGCTAAAAAACTAGCATTAGAAGGCCTAGAAAAAAATTTGTCAGATGCTGAACTTAAGCAATTTAGAGAATGGAACAAAGACATTACTAACTGTTCACAAAATTGGGGTAGGTTATATGAGATATGGAGAGATATAGATACTGAAGTAAGACTACAATCAATGACTTCCGATAGCTCAGGTATGTGTTCTTATATTATTAGCTATTTTTTACTATTTTAATTTCATTCAAATAAAGTAATGAAGATAAATTGATATTTCAAGTGAAAAATTAAATTTATTTTTATTTTTAGCAAATTCATCAGTCATAGATTTTGTTGTTACTGTTGTTACTGAGTTATCAACAGTCAACCAATGTTAAGTTTTCAGAACAAAACTAATGAAATACATTTTCTACAAGGTAACATAATTTGTAATGCTAGGTAAATATAAAAAGGCAATAATAATGAGAATATTTGAGGTAATAAAAATGTGTTTTATGTAATTATAGAGAGATCTTTAAATTCAGAGTCGAATTCATTTACTTCTATCGATTCTACTAGCTTGGATAATAGCTTAATTATTTATATAAAGTACTTTACTTTTAAATATTTTAATTATAATATAATAATATTTTATATTAATACTTCATAGATTTTAGATCAGATACGGATGAAGTTCCTGATAACAACCAAGTTACCTTGGATCAGGATAAGGCAACAATGATAGTAGTGGAAAAGATTCTAAAGGTTCCTGTTTCAAATAAACCTATAAACAAAAGAAAGAAACGTTTAGTATATGCTCTCTCTCTACACAAGAGCATAGAGATACACTAGCTAATAAAGTCGATGCATCCATAGAAGAAGAAAATTGGATTTGCTATGTGTGCAAAGCAAATTATGCAGAAAAAATAAGATCAAAGTTGTGGGTGAACTGTGATTTATGTGATCGTGCTATGCACTTAAACTGTATATCAGACGAGCACAAAAAGCTGACAAACATAAAAAAACTTATTAAAAGAAAAAAAATTTCTTTTGCGTGCCAAGAATACACTAAATAAATGTATAATTTTATTTCTTTAAACTCTCTTCAATTTTGTGGTTTTTATTGATAAAATAAAACTTTTATTATATATATGTATTTAACATAAAATATACTTAGTAGGTATGGAAAAAACAAAAAACAAAATTTAAAAAAGAAAAAAAAGTAATAGATGTTAAGGTTCTCTAGATCTGGAATAAAATTAATGCCAATAATTGAGTTGCGCATGCCAATAATTGAGTCAAAGTGCCAATAACTCGGGACAGCGAATCAACTTACTTCTAATGTTTATATATATACTTGATTTTTTGCGCAAATAAAAAGTTAATTTTGTAAGATCATTTACAAGGTATTAATCTAATATTGTGCCAAATTTCAAATGATTTCATTTAGGGGTACGATTTTTGCACAGAAATTAGTATCAAAAATAGCGTTAAGGTGCCAATAACTGTGTCACTACCATAATTAAGTTTAGAGTCAACAGTAAGTTCTATTAATTCTGTAAATTCTATCAATTCTGTAATTTCCATCAGAAAAAAAGATGAGAGCTAATTCCAAAGCACTGAAGTTCAAGGAATAAAGCTAGAATAATATTTTTTTGGGGCATCAAAGAACAGTTATAGTAAAAAAGTGATGAAAAAAGCTTAACTGAATGATGAGTCTTGTGAGATTGAGTTTTGGTTGATGAAACTTGTTATATTATGTTAAATAGCTTGTTTGAGCAGCAGCTGTGGTAGTGTTTGTAGAGAAGAGGAAAAGCTGCTGCCTTATGACAATGGAATACAGGCTCAAGTTTAGCAATTAGAGCAGGTACCCTCAGAATATGTTAGGTTTGCAATGGTCTGTATATATGGTTTCCACAAGAGTTTATTAATGAAAGATAATCCAAAAAGGCACAAAGTAGAGGACTGAGTGAGTATAGCTTGCTGTTTCTCAATAAATATCAACAATATTGTGATGATATCATCAATATCAACAAAATTATGATGATATCATCATATCAGCAATACTGTGATGATACCATCAATATCAACAATATTGTGATGGTATCATCAATATCAACAATATTGTAATGATATCATCAATATCAACAATATTGTGATGATATTATCAATATCAACAATATTGTGATGATATCATCAATATCAACAATTTTGTGATGATTATTGGCATTAAACAGTTGAGTTTTGTTTGGCTTAAAAAAATCTTTCAACTCTGAAACAAAAACCATGATGAGCAAAGCAGCTGCCTAAAGAAAGAAGTTAAGCAAGTTTTTACCAGAAATATGATGGACCATAGCTCTCACTTATAAAGTTACTACCAGAAATATGATGGACCATAGCTCTCACTTATAAAGTTACTACCAGAAATATGATAGACCATAGCTCTCACTTATAAAGTTACTACCAGAAATATGATGGACCATAGCTCTCACTTATAAAGTTACTACCAGAAATATGATGGAACATAGCTCTCACTTATAAAGTTACTATTAGAAATATGATGGACCAGAGCTCTCACTTATAAAGTTACTTTAAAGTAACTTTATAAGTGAGAGAACTTACTACCAGAAATATGATGGACCAGAGTTCTCACTTATAAAGGAAGTGCTTTACTGCCATTACCACAAAAATATTATAATTTTTTTAGATAATAAATAAATTGTATAAATTACATCGCTATTAGATGCATTTATTATACATTTTATTATAAATATTTTATTATCATTGTTTTATTATTATGTAAATATTACTTTTCAAAGTAATATTAACTATATTAAGCTTAATAAAATAAAAATTTAATGAAAAATGAGAAATTCTATTAAATGTTTTTTTATTAAGCAATTGATGAAGTTAATGAAAAGAACTAAAAGAAAAAAAGGGTGGAATTAAAACATTAAGATCAAAATTTTCCCAACAAAATTTTTCACTCATTCACATTTATCACATTTAGCAAAGGCTAACATATAATCTACATAATATATGATTAACATAAAATATAATAAAGTATAAAATACAATCAAACTATAAAAGCATATAAAAAGCATTAAAGTTTTTTCATTATTTTAATTATTTTTTAATTATTATAAACATTTTAAAGGCTTAATCACTAAAAATAGAGCCATAGAACTATAAAATATTTTAGTTCAAAAAGGCATATAGCTCATGCAGAATACATACATATTATAATGTAGGGCCAGCAATCTATGGTAAATATTTAAACAATTTTTTTTAAATGTTCATTTAAAATATGTTTATATAATCAATATTTGTATAATTATATATGTTTATATATTTTTACTCTAAACTGTTGTTAAACTAAACCTGTTGGAAACAGCATCTGCAAGTATTGACTTTTTTTAGTGAAAAAGATCAGGACAATATCTAATCAACTTTTGCAAGGGCCTTTTTCTAACAATTTAGTATATAATAAGTTTGGTAACAAATTTTGATTATGATTAGCAAGTAACTTTGATCAAGTTTACTAGATAATTATTGTACTAAATGTTTTTACATTTTTATTATAAAAGAATAGTACAGTCACTACAATCAAGTTTTTTCTCTTCTTTTTTTTTTAATTGTTGCACCCTATAATTTGATTACAATTCTCTCTCTCAACCCTTTAGCACCAAAACACAAATCTTAATGAACACCAAAACACAAACCTAGATGAACACCAAAACACAAACATTGACGAACACTAGAACACAAATGTTGATGAACACCAAAACTCAAATGTTAATGAACATCAAAACACAATTGTTAATTCACACCAAAATACAAGTGTTGATGAACTGCATAATTTTGAATATAAATATAATCCAAATATAATATAAATATAATATATATATCAATCTATGATTAAACATATGATTTTGCAAACATATTTACCCAATGAATATGAACATACAAACATTTATATCCAAGTGAAGAATATTACGAAGAAAATTTATTATTTTCTATTGTTTAAAAATATTTTTTAGCAAAAAGATTATAGTTAAGTGTAATTTTTTTTATTTTAAATTTATTTTGATTTTTTTTAAATTTCGCATCATTTTTTTTAACTTTCACATCTTCGATTTCAATCATTTCAACACAACTCAACTTTTTTCAATTTATTGATATTAAAACTTATAATTTAACATTAACAACAACAGTTGTTATTTAAGTTGTTACATATTTATGTTATATGGCATTTTTATATTAGGAAACTTTGCTTTATTTTTTGCCATATAATTTATGCTAAAGTTTACTATAATATTAATAGACTTTAAAAATTAAAAACTGCTAAGTCTATTATAATTTGTTAAATCTATCTAATTATTCAGGCAGTTTGACCCTTTACAATTTTTCTATTAATGCATGTGTGTGTGTTTGTATGTATTGATTTTATTACATTTACAATAAAATGTTTTTTTTTTAAATAGGATTGCTGTAGTCCAACTGATATTATAGCTGCTTCTTCACTTAGAATGCCAACTGTGAAAGAAGAGATTGAGGTTACATTACAAAGGGAGTTACCAAGAATGACACTTTGTTTGAATGGTCATTATTATGATAAAGCTAATCCTGGCAAAGCTTTTGAAAATACTACATTAAAAATGGTATTATTTTATGAACATAATTTTTATATTATAGTAGATAATTTTAATGTAAAATTTATTAAATGTCTTTTAACTATTCTTATTTTTATTTTTAATATAATTATGATTTTAATTATAATTTATTTATCTTTTTTAATATAGATTTATTTTATATTTTATTAATAAATAAAAAAGATATATCTATCTAAAATATATATATCTATATAAAAAAAATATATATATATATATATATATATATATATATATGAAACGCTAACTTGAAAAAGGGGACATGTTATGTAAATTTAGGACATGTCCTTTTTTTTCAAGTTAGCGATTCATTTATATGTTTACATATACAAAAATACAAATGCAGCATTACCACAAAACTATGCTAGCAGTTTGTAATTCACTAAGCCAAGTATATGTTTTTATAATGTAACAAACAGAAAAAAATTATTGTTTACTTTTTGGAAATTCATAAAACTGCAGATAAAGCAACAAATTACCTCCACTGAAAATAATTTGTTGCCTTATTGCATAATATCATATAGTAAATAATGGCTAATAGCTTTCTGAATGGGTACAGATTTATCCAATACGAGCTTTTGATGTTTGTTTCTGAACAGAAATTTTGCTTAAGATGAATGCAGGTTTTCTTTATACAGATAACATAAAGAATTTACTTTGTAAGACAACTTAAATTTCATGTGATAAAACTACATCGTTTTTCTCTAAAGCCATTTGTACATTATAACAAATGTCAGACATCATTAATAAGACACTTATAGAATTTTAAAATGCTAACTGCAAAATTCTTATGTTACTAATCTGCTTGTTTATCTATTCTTTTCAAGTTACACAATCAATTTTTAGACTTTTTTTCAAGATCCAGATCAGATTAGTTGAATTGACCACTTAGTTCCATACTACTTTAGGCATAATTTAACTTTCGTTAGTTAAACTGATTAAACATACCTCGTATCGAGATTAGATTAGGCAAAACTTTAAAAATTTGGAATTTTAAAATGTAAATTAAATGAGAAGTGGACTAGAAGGTGACCGCCTAATGTGCCTAACCCTAGATCCGCCCCTGCATGCACTTCTTTATTCTAAGGGTTTTAGGTTGAATTTCAAAAAACATAAGGTTTTGCTTCAGATTCTAATAATATGTATATGTACGAGCGGGATGTGTTGAAAATAAAATCTTAAACATTCTTTCTTAGTACAAAATTGATATTTTCCAGAAAATAGTCTTTAAAAAATTAAAATTTGAGATCATATCAAATATATCAAGTTAAACGATGAGATCATATATATTATATAAATAAATTAAAACATGCATGTATTTAATTAGTTTAAATTTTCATAGAGCAGTAGGGGAAGACACTTTAATCTGTGGTTTCTGTTAGTCTCTGCGACAGCATAGCGCTTTAATCCTCTTTTAGCCTCTACCTGCAAAGACATATTGTCAATAAAGAAAAAAAAAATTTAATAGTTGATTCTTTAATCTGCTATTCAACTTGTTGTACATTCATATACTCAACCATTTTCTCCACATCTGCATCATGAGATTTAAGTAAACAATGAAGACAGAGTGGAAGAAAAGCACAACAAGCCTTCAACATTTAATGATCAATACTTTAACATCAAAATGTTATAATATAGTATGTTTTTGTTAAATTTTTATGTACAGCCTCTGATGTTTGCTCTGAAAAAAGTCCAAGATTAAATTTCTGATTAAAAAAAAGTTCTGAGAAAATCTATAAGGTGGTATTTAATAATTTTAACTAAATATTAATGTTTTGTGAAACACATTTACAATAGTATTCTAATTATTTAGCAGATTCAATGAACTGCAACATATCTTCATTGTATGTAAATTTAGGCAGCATGCCAAAACAACTTTTTGCAACTGAAACATGTTTAGTATATAATTAGAATATTTATGTAATGCAGTTATATAACTGAATTGATGTAACCAACATCATTTCATCTAATAATTTGAGAACTTTATCACAGTTGGGTCCATCCAATCCACCACCATTATACCCATGCCACACTGTATTTTTGTTGAAAAAAGATTTCAGGCCCTTATTGACAATAAGAATGTCAATAATTTTTTTTATAACCTGCTCATACATGTAAAGTTCCAGAGAATGGATAGTATCAAAAATAAATTTTCTGGGATCTTCCTCAACCAAACCTGGGCATAACATTATTGAATAGTTTCCCATAATATTATTGAATAATTTTCTTATATTTTAGTCTTATAAGGATATCCTGCATCTTGGTACAGACCGATGATGCTTGGTACGGATAGTAATCTGAACTTAAAGAGGCAAAAAATCCCAAATTTTTATAAGCTGTAACAACTGTAAATACTGTAACAACAATAATGTTTTTCACCATGACTCTATAATAAATCGTTTTGTTATTCTGATATTTAATCTTTTAGTAAATACTTGTAAAAAGTTAATAAAATTAAGAAAAATTTCTTACTGATATGCCAAGAAGTACGTTTATGAGCTCATGAGGCCAGAAGCCACAAAATGTTTAAGCTGATTTAAATTAATTAGTTTAATTCCAAGATAATTTGTAACTGTAAAACTTTTCTAAAGCATGAGAAGATTTTTACAGAACGCTTCACAACCGCACTAATTAAATTCTTTTCAACACCTCGTTGTAAAATCCCAAATTCAATTATATATAGTCACATTCCAAAAAAATCAAATTGTCAACATAATTTTTTTAATAGAAAACTCTTTTACAAAACACAAAAATAAAACACAAAGGTTTAGTAAAAATACGTTAAACTCTTAATTACATAGTTTTTTCTTTTAAAGAGTATAGGAAAATGAAAATTAATGCATATTTACAATAATTAGTTAGGGATTGTCCATAAAGTATGTACGTGTGGAGGGGAAGAGGAGGTCTGCAAATGGTGTATATAAGATGGGAGGGCAGTGGGTTAATTATTAAAGAAAGAAGAGACTAAATTTAAAAAAATATCATAAAATATTAGATAAATAGTTTAAAAGCATAGGTACTTTTAGGGAGGTGGAGGGTACTCAAAAAAGCATATTGCAAAAAAGCGGGGTAAGGGAGGGGTAAGACAAAAAAAAAGCATAAGTACTTTATGGACAATCTCTTATTATTAATTTGTATTTTTGTGTGTTTTATTTGTGTATCTTGATTTATTGAGAGGCCCAGGACCTTTAGGCATACCAGGGGCCCAGGAGGGAAGGGGGGGGGGAAATACTCCTAACCTCCATTGCCAGTCCTACCCTGTAAGTAACTCTCTTCCACTTTCCTACCCTGCCAGTCCTACCCTGTAAGTAACTCTTTTCCACTTTTCAAATCTCTTCAACAGGCTTGGTCAGGAAGCGGGAGCGATCGCTCTCGATTGCTGACCACGTAAATAATATTTAGTTGCGAAAAGCTGGCCAGATTTTTTAGTCGTTTTGAGAACATTTTAAAAAGCAAAAAAAAAAAAGCGACAAAGAATAATTGGACCGATGAGAGACAATTACAAAAAAAAAAAAAAGTAGGCAAATAAAATATCTTTAAACGCGAAAAAACTTTAAGCTAAATAAATTACATTTAAAACAAATATTTTCGAAACATCGCTTTTTTATAATTTTTTTTATAAAATTAAGTGATGTTTTTTGTAACAACTTACGATTGTTTAAAAGGGAAGCAAATATTCTTTATTTAACTAAGTTTGCAAGTTTTAGTTTTACTTAAGCTAAATTACTTTATAAATAAAAAAGTTAATTTTTTTATACCTATTTTATGTTTCGCGTAGTTAGAAAAGTTTAACATATTTGAAGCGATTCTTCTTAGTAAGATAAACAAATGAAATAATTAAATCATTGAATTACTATAGGAATTAAATTATCAAGATAGAAATCAACTAAAAAGGTTAAAAATACTTAATGACCAGGAAGCGAAACTGCTTCACAATATCGCTGATGATGTTTAGTAAGTGGGCTTTTTAATTTTAATTAGTATTTAAAGCAGAAAAAAGTATAACAAGTTTTAAGAATGGCAACTTAAGCGAAAATAATTAGAGTTAGTAATCCAATATCTAGAAACTTTTCTTTATATCTAATTATTTGCTATTATATATTTGTGTTCTGTCGTGACCTCAGGCGTGATGCTTGTTCATTTGCGAGTTACTTTGTATGCGTTGTTTGTGTTTAGTAACCAGAAACTTCTTATATGTTTGTTACATAATTAGTTTTATTAACTTTAACAATTATAACTTTGAAAACGCAATTATTTTTGTAAGTCTTTGTTTAAATCATAAAAATTGCTTCAAAAGATCAAAAGACATTACGATAAAAAACAGATACACAAAATTACATTTACATAAAGAATACAATCTCTTTTAAAATAAAAAATAAGAATATACAAATAAAATCTATGATTTATAATAAACTTTTAAAATGTTGACAATTTAATTAATATATATTTAAAACATTTATTTTTGTAAACAAATAATATGTATTCTTAAAACAATGCTAGAAATCTCAAAGCGTAACAAATCGTGAATAATACAATTTCTAAAACATTTTAACAGAATGCACTAGAACTTTATTTCGCTTAATCAGCGTTTTTTTTGAACCAATAGAATTAGTTTGTTTGTTAATTTGGCGGGTTTTTAGTGTTCGCAAATATTCTTTTTATTCTTTCGCACAAAGATGTTTTGAGAACATTCAAGTTTTTAATGTTTCCATGTATGTCCGTAAAATAAAAATTCTTTGTTTCGTACATAAATGTTCTCAAAACAACTAAAAAACCTGGCCAGTTTTACGCAACTAAATGTAATTTCCGTGGTCAGTATTCGAGAGCGATCGCTCCCGCTTCCCACCCAAGCCTGCTTCAATCATTGTTAATAGGCTTCAATCATTGTTAATAGGCTTCAATCATTGTTAATGTTCTTGTTCAGAGCTTTGCTCTGAACAAGATTTTTGTATTTTTAGTAAAAAATTTTAGAAAAAAATTTAATAAATTAA